ACCGGATCCTGGCTTGCTGCCGCTAGCTCCGCTGCCACTACCTCCGTTACCACTGTTGCTGTAGCCACCCTTGTAGCCAGAATTTGACGACTGCTTCAGCGCCTTAAGCTGCCTGCAGTCCTTAACCACGTGCCCAGGTTTATTACAGTAGTAGCAGATGACTTGCTTCCGACTATGTCCCGAGCTGTTGTTAGCCGGCCCCCGGCTACCATAACCAGAAGTAGAAGCGCCGAACGTCGAACCGCCGACAGACGCGAAGGCTGCCGACTCGGTAGGCTTGCCCGACCCACCGTTAGCCGTCTCGATAGAGAGAAGCTTTGCTGTGACGTTCGCCATGTCCAAATCGCCGTCGCGCATAAGTAATGTAGTCGTCACCATGCTGTACCGACTGGGTAGACCAACTAGCACGGTGTACGCCAGCTCGGAGTCGTTAACTACGTGGCCGACTCCCAATAAATCTGTTTGCAGCTGCCTTGCACGCGCAAAGTACATCGGAAGAGGTTCGCCGTCGACCATCTTAAAACGGCTGAATTCTTGACGTAGAGACACCTTGCGGGCGTTGTTGTTGGCAGCAAACATAGATCCCAAGGCGTCCCAGGCCTTCTTCGCGTTGGCAGCACCGGTAACCATCGGCAAATGATGATCCTTGACGTTCTTGATGAGCAGATTGATGACCTTCCGTGACTGTCGAATTTGCTCCTCGATGCACGGCTCGGCGAGCAGGGATTGCTCAAGCCCAAGCTCCATGCACAACGCGCTGAACCCAATTTGCCAGGTAGAGTAGTTGTTGAGATCCAGCGACTCATCAAGCTTGTCCTTAACCATTGTTGATGAGGGATAGAAATAACAATTGGGCGATAACTGTCGGCGCTAATCGGGGCTCATAACCTATTGAAGAATTGGCGACGGTGACAGCTAACGCTAATTGTTATTCCGGAAGGATTGCCGGTGGCGAAGATATTTAGCACGATAAATTGTTACAAGTAATGTAAAGAGTATTGTTAGCGTTCGGCAGGACTTGAGGAGATTCCTGGTAGGAATACCGATCGTTGTGAGATAAACTAATAGGCGCAGTCACCGCCCTAAATACCGGCGCTAGCGGAAAACTCGTACATTCCGCGATCTAACTGCACGTACATTCCGCGATCTCACTGCGCCGTCCAGACGGTGCCCTAATGTCTATCACTTACCTACCGGATATGCATTGGTAGCCCCATAAGGTTCTGGGGTAAGTCTTCCCCAATAGTCAGGCGCAGACCCGGGGTCAAATCCCCTGGTCGACAACCACACGAGTTGGGAGAGGACCGTTTCCTCAACACCTCCTTAACCTGCCTGCCAGTAGCGTGCTCCAGTCCCGCTATCATTACCACCATCTTCTGGTAGACCTCCTCCTTGGTCGCTGTAAACGCAACAGCTGAAAGACCAGTATGGTCGTCAAGCAGAGTTGTCACGTAACGCGAACCACTAAGGTTCAGGCATAGGTCCACACACATCCATGTGAATGAGCGCGAGAGGCTGCGCTGCCTTATGCCCAGTTAACGGAAAAGGACCACGTGTATGCTTTGCAAGGACGCAAGTCTCACACACACACACGCTGGCTGATTGTATGCTGTGTCGGTCAACATCGAACCCAGTTACCATATCATGACGCAGCAACGCCTCAAGGTTGCTGTATCCTAAGTGGCCATACCTTCGGTGCCAAAGTGCTGCACGTTCAGCTCCGATACCCACGGCAGCACACACTGCATCACCACCAGAAGGTATCCTGTTGTCTTCACGCTGCGTCCACTTCAGAGCTCCCGTACCTCCACTGCTGTAGCAGACGGGATACAAGTCCCCATCCCGCTTTCCAGTCAGCACCAACTGGTTCTGTACGTATACTTTCGCCTGTCCGCCGCCGAAGACCACACTGCCTCCACGATCATCAATGATGCGGACCGATATGATTTTGGCGGTGGCCTCCTCGTCGACGTAGACCTTCTTGAAAGTGATGGCCTGTTTATCGTTGATGTTAGACCGAATCGTTAGCGTGCCAACTTCAGTCGGTCGAAGAGACTGTCCCTTGATGCCCATGATGTTGAAGCGCTCCCATGGCTCCAACAACCGCACATTGAAAAGTTCTGAGCGGTCATACTATTGAAGAATTGGCGACGGTGACGGCTAACACTGATTGTTATTCCGGAAGGATTGCCGGTGGCGAAGATATTTAGCACGATAAACTGTTACAAGTTATGTAAAGAGTATTGTTAGCGTTCGGCAGGACTTGAGGAGATTCCTGGTAGGAATACCGATCGTTGTGAGATAGACTAATAGGCGCAGTCACCGCCCTAAATACCGGCGCTAGCGGAAAACTCGTACATTCCGCGATCTAACTGCACGTACATTCCGTGATCTCACTGCGCCGTCCAGACGGTGCCCTAATGTCTATCACTTAGCTACCGACTATGCATCGGTAGCCCCATAAGGTTCTGGGGTAAGTCTTCCCCAGTAGTCAGGCGCAGACCCGGGGTCAAATCCCATGGTCGACAACCACATGAGTTGAGAGAGGACCGTTTCCTCAACACATACGTTATGTGGTGAGTGGCGGCTGAGTCCAGAAACCATTCCGTCGGACGCTCGCTGTTGTATGCTACGAACGCTACCTGCCGCGGAACTCCTGGCCCCCTAGCTGATCCACCGGATCCTGGCTTGCTGACGCTAGCTCCGCTGCCACTACCTCCGTTGCCACTGTTGTTGTATCCACCCTTATAGCCAGAATTTGACGACTGCTTCAGCGCTTTAAGCTGCCTGCAGTCCTTAACCACGTGCCCAGGTTTATTACAGTAGTAGCAGATGAGTTGCTTCCGACTGTGTCCCGAGCTGTTGTTAGCCGGCCCCCGGCTACCATAACCAGAAGTAGAAGCGCCGAACGTCAAACCGCCGACAGACATGGAGCTTGGGCTTGAGCAATCCCTGCTCGCCGAGCCGTGCAACGAGGAGCAGATTCGACAATCACGGAAGGTCATCAATCTGCTCATCAAGAACGTCAAAGATCATCATTTGCCGATGGTTACCGGTGCTGCCAACGCGAAGAAGGCCTGGGACGCCTTGGGATCTATGTTTGCTGCCAACAACAACGCCCGCAAGGTGTCTCTACGTCAAGAATTCAGCCGTTTTAAGATGGTCGACGGCGAACCTCTCCCGATGTACTTTGCGCGTGCAAGACAGCTGCAAACGGATTTATTGGGAGTCGGCCACGTAATCAACGACTCCGAGCTGGCATAAACCGTCCTAGTTGGTCTACCCAGTCGGTACAGCGTGGTGACGACTACATTACTAATGCGCGACGGCGATTTGGACATGGCGAGCGTCACAGCAAAGCTTCTCTCTATCGAGACGGCTAACGGTGGGTCGGGCAAGCCTACCGAGTCGGCAGCCTTCGCGTCTGTCGGCGGTTCGACTTTCGGCGCTTCTACTTCTGGTTATGGTAGCCGGGGGCCGGCTAACAACAGCTCGGGACACAGTCGGAAACAGCTCATCTGCTACTACTGTAACAAACCTGGGCACGTGGTAAAGGACTGCAGGCAGCTTAAAGCGCTGAAGCAGTCGTCAAATTCTGGCTATAAGGGTGGGTACAACAACAGTGGTAACGGAGGTAGTGGCAGCGGAGCTAGCGGCAGCAAGCCAGGATCCGGTGGATCAGCTAGGGGGCCAGGAGTTCCGCGGCAGGTAGCGTTCGTAGCATATAACAGCGAGCGTCCGACGGAATGATTTCTGGACTCAGCCGCCACTCACCACATAACGTATGACCGCTCAGAACTTTTCAACGTGCGGCTGTTGGAGCCATGGGAGCGCTTCAACATCATGGGCATCAAGGGACAATCTCTTCGACCGACTGAAGTTGGCACGCTTACGATTCGGTCTAACGTCAACGATAAACAGGCCATCACTTTCAAGAAGGTCTATGTCGACGAGGAGGCCACCGCCAAAATCATATCGGTCCGCATCATTGATGATCGTGGAGGCAGTGTGGTCTTCGGCGGCGGACAGGCGAAAGTATACGTACAGAACCAGTTGGTGCTGACTGGAAAGCGGGATGGGGACTTGTATCCCGTCTGCTACAGCAGTGGAGGTACGGGAGCTCTGAAGAGGACGCAGCGTGAAGACAACAGGATACCTTCTGGTGGTGATGCAGTGTGTGCTGCCGTGGGTATCGGAGCTGAACGTGCAGCACTTTGGCACCGACGGTATGGCCACTTGGGATACAGCAACCTTGAGACGTTGCTGCGTCATAATATGGTAGCTGGTTTTGATGTTGACCGACACAGCATACAATCAGCCAGCGCGTGTGTGTGTGAGACTTGCGTCCTTGCTAAACATACACGTGGCCCTTTTCCGCTAACAGGGCATAAGGCAACACAGCCACTAGCATTAATCCACATGGATGTGTGTGGGCCTATGCCTGAACCTTCGCCTAGTGGTTCGCGTTACGTGACAACCCTGCTTGACGACCATACTGGTCTTTCAGCTGTTGCGTTTACAGCGACCAAGGAGGAGGTCTACCAGAAGATGGTGGTAATGATAGCGGAACTGGAGCGCGCTACTGGCAGGCAGGTTAAGGAGGTGCGTACAGATCGTGGCGGGGAGTTCGTTAATACTCGCACGAAGGCCTATTTCGCTTCCAGGGGAATTGTACACGGAACTACGGTAGGCTACACCCCTGAGCAGAACGGAGCTGCAGAACGTTTAAATCGCACTCTTTTGGACAAGACTAGGGCTATGCTAGTTGAGTCTGGACTGCCTAAATCATTATGGGCGGAGGCGTTAGCGACAGCCAACTATCTTAGGAATGTGTCGCCAACTGCTGGGTCAACCGTCACTCCGTACGAAGCTTTCTT